CTCTTGAGTGAGATGAAAATCCTGTCAGAACCATAAATGACTGAAGGCAAAGAGCTGGCCCCGTTAGTGGCAAGAATGATAGATCTTGTACTTGTCTTCTGAAATGCACAACCCTGCCCAAATGTTTTCCCTGCTCCCCGCCTCCTTTTTTTTGGAGGCGAGAGGGAGAGCATGGTGAGTAGCTGAGCTAGCTAATCCTTCTCCCAGTAGCAGATGCTGTTTTGAGCAGACTCAATACAAAAGAGAAACACAGTAGTTGCTTGAAGATATCACAGAGGATGATGTATCCAGACACATCACAGGAACAATTTTGCATACCTGGAAGGACTAGTGATAGCATTTGTAGAATCATTAAATCTCCCTGCACATGCAGCATTTAGTCAGATCCTTACCCCCTTGCACTGGGTTCCCAGTACGGTGCATACAGTCCTGAAAATGCTGGCACGAAGTAGCAGCCATAAGAAGTCCCCACTTCTGCAGCCAGTTTTTCTAATGCACACACAAAAACAGTCTTCACTTAGCTTTTCACAACTGAACCAACACTTAAATATGACAATTAAAGGTGTTATTATTTAAATAGGGAAAACATTCAAAATACGTTAGGTAGCTACAAAAATAATCAAGCCACATACAGTTAGAAAATATACCTAACTCTGGCACTCTGCTCCTCATTAACTAGTTGTCCATTTGCAACAATGTGAATGGAAGATGGGGCATAGGGCATTGTGTGAAATGTAAAATGAAAAATCAAAAGTGAAAACCAAAATCGTGTACTCGATATTCTGACCTAGATTCTGTGAGGTTTTCAAAGGGTATCCTGTGGGTAAGGAATGCAACCTTCAAAGCAGTCCAAAAGGTCACACTTTACTTGCATTTAAGTCACGGCAAGCAAGTGAAACTGGATCAAGACCAAAGGGAGTTAAAAACTAAATTTCCATTAATTTCAAATGGATTTAGAGGTCTAAATTCTCAGCTTACGTGTATAATCACAAGGCCATCTACAAGGAAATCTGAAGTTTCTTAATATCGGAGTAATAACTTTGGGTACCTGAACTCCCCAATATTAAAGTATTTGTAATTTTTAAAATTATATTAAAACATCTAGAACTGCCACGGAAGTAATGCTAATGTGCAGCTCCTTCCTATAACAAGAAAGGAAAGTACTTTTTTTCTGCTTTTGTCAATTTCTTCTGTTTGTATTGATCAGAGAAGCACAGCAATAGAGGAAAGAGGTAGGAAAACTTATTCAAAAAATCTTTTTAAAATGGTACTTTTATACAGAATCTACTTAAAAAAGGAGTGAAGACAGAAGGAGGAAGGAAGGACATGTTCAGGGAAACAAGAAAAGATGACGAAGTCTCACATGACTTTAACAACACTGACAAGATTAAAGTTCTTGAGACTCAAATCTTCCAAAGGTCTACTCAAACTTTTGAAGCCAACAGGTACTGTAGTGTTTCAACAGCTGGCTAATTCATGTGACAGTAGTTTATATGCTTCTGTATGATCTGCAAAGTTTTCTTACAGAAAAACAGACTGACATTTTAAGTTTTTGCTTAATCTTTGAAGTTTTACATAGAATTTGAATTCTAAATTCTTCCACCTTTGAATAAGATATCAAGTTATTAAAAATATGTAATGAATTGCTTTTTAATCCTAAATCTCATTAAATCAGTCACTTTCAAACTGTTACAGTTGAATGCTCCCAACATTTTCTCCTTTTTCAAAGTTTGATATATTCCTAGTTTCTATAATGTCACACACCAGCTTGTTTCAGTTCAGCTCCAGCAGAAAACATTAGCTACCCAAATGCTAAAGGATTACTATATTCTTAGCCAAAACAGATTACCATCCTCCACAATTCATTTAAGAGGCAGCTTTGCAAACTGAAGTCCCTAACTCAATGGATATGAAGCCTTCTACATAAATTGTTGCATATGTAGGGCCTCAGATTCTCATGTTTATGACAGGAATGAATATGTAGGTTTAGGATCAAATATGCTCTGGGTTCTTTAATAGAGACTTAAATACTCTTGGCTCTGGAAGATTCAATATTGTATGAAACAAGGAAATGCACTGTAAGTATAGTATCTTCCTGAATATCTGCTTGCTAGGAAAACTACTAAAAATTACAGATTGTAACAGAACAAAGCTGACAAAGGGTTTCAAAGACTGTATTGATATGCTGTATGAAATACATACATCAATGAACAGTGATTTCATTGAACAAATTGTTCAAACACAGCAACATATATGCATCTTCCAGCTTTGCTTTACTTCAATATTTTGAGCTTTCATTCAACATTAGAGACACCAAGACATTGGAAAAGAAAACTTAAAAAACTGAACAGCTCCAAATTGTGAATACTCACCAACTTCCTGTGAAGTCTTAACGATACCTAGGTTGTCCCTCAGCCAACGAACAACAGCACCGGCTATTGCAACAGATCCCTGAAGGAAACAAAATCACTACAACATTAGGGGACAACAACTGGTAGCTTTGTGTTCCTTTTTACAAGACTGGAGCGGAGGGGTACCTGTGGCCCCCAATTGCAGGCTGACAGTCACAGCTTAAAAGCACAACCAAGAATGCTCACAAACCACAAGTTTCTTGGCAGCTGGAGACTGCCATGTAAAAATGGCAGCCTGTTACACAGGCTCCATGTAGAAAAGGTGCATACTGCATGATTTTTTCATGGAGGGGAGTTACCATGACATTTCCTAAGCAGTCGTCTTGTCTCTGTAATTTAGTCATGAGGTCCAGTAGCCTCAGCCTTCTTTTTCTGACAAATTAAGATTTTTATGCTTTGATTTATAAAACCAAGACTGATTAGAGATAATCAGTCTAAACACAAATGCCCAGACAGACAGAAGATTTAGGCACTTGCATTTGCCAGCCAAATTACTCTGTCCCTTCAGCAAATGGCCCTGAATGGCTCCATCATATCACAGATGAATGGCATGGCTCCCACCTCACTCCAAAGTCCAAATGGACTTGTCTACAAGACAGTCTCAAGTCTATTAGTCGAAGCCTCAGGTAAAACAGGAGCAGCATTATATTTTCATTCAAAGCCATTGCTAGAAGGAGCAGGGTGTTTTCTAACCAGCTAGCTATTACAGTTACAAGATATGGGTTCGATTAAAAGAAAAGGCTGAATCCACATTTCTTGCCTCTCTGGAAAGTGTCTCAACCAGCAGATTGTGGATGATTCTAGCATGGAAACAGGAGAAAGAACACTTAATATCTTCCGTTGATGCCATTTATTCAGACAATATCATTAAAGACAGAGATGAGGAAGAAGCAAAGTATACATACACGTGTTTCAGCATGCAGAAATACAAACCACTCTCAAGACAGTTCCAGTTTAAGAACATGGGTTAAAACTAAAACAAACACCTCACACACCTGCACAAAATGAAACCCCCAGTTTGCCAGAACATGGCAAATGCAAGATAAACTTTCCTTAGGGAAAGAAAAG